TCTAGCACTGAGGGCGATTCCAACACCAGCTTGCCCAGATGCGGCAGACTCGGCGTCCCCAGAGAGGCGGAGATGGAACCGGGTGCGTGGGTGGAGCGGTGACACCAGCTGGTAGACCGAGTTAGAGTCCTGGAGTCGTGTTTCAGTCAGGCAGCAGATATCAATTCCAAGGGTCTCTAGCGTGCGTGCAACTCCAGCTTGCTGACCGATCTGCAGTAATGTGCGTACGTTAAAAGCTGCAAGTTTGAACTGCGTTCCGGGTTGCAGGAGCGAAGATAGGCGACTTTGGGGCCGGCAACTCTCTGTTGAGTACTGTGTGGTTGAGTTGGCAGATGTCACGGGAACAGGTTCATCAGTGTAGGTGGGATTGATCGTTGTAGAGGAATCAGGTAAAAATGGGTGTGAATGGTACACGGGAAGAGTAGGTAGAGTTAGCGGAAAGGGGATAATAAATTCGTACCCCCTACCCTTGTGGGATCTTTTGTGCGCCAGGAACATACAAATTGGTAGATTGAAGATCAGTTACGTCCGGAAGTTTGCATGCGGCACTCTGTCAAACTGTTTCTTCATAAGCGATCAAATCTACGGCAGAGACAGCACAAACAGCGGAAAATCTGCGAATCGCAAACCGGATGTGCCGCCATGTCGACCGCTATGCTTTGATGGGCAAAAAAGTGACACCTACTCCATGTGTATATATACTTAACTGTCTTTTGCATGCAACCAATAAGAGGCTGACATGAGGCGATTATATAGATACAGACAAAGGGGACCGTGTGGTGTTACCATATGACTCTACACTGGTAGTTATAATTGTCCTGGCTACTGATTCGTTGTGAATACTACACCAACTCAACAGTCATTCAACAAATGCATGTGCTTTAGAAGATGGCTTAGGAGAATTGCTTAATTTTTGCAACGGCCGTTATGCATTTATAGTGTCCATACATGCGTTTACTGTTTTAATTTCACGGACACAAGAAGTTGCCAAATGCTTCCCTATTCTAACGTGCAACATTCCTTCGTCTCTAAGCTCCAGGCAGCGGGCGTCGTCAGCGTGGCAACTGTACTGAATTTGCCGTTATTTATGCCCGTCCACCGTTCTGCCGGAGCTGACAGCGTGAATCCGAAAGCATTGTTGTTCATCGCTTCATCGAGTTCTTTTAAAGGCAACCCATTGAGTAACACCTACATATTGTGCAAGCACCACTTCCCCAATCAAAAGGCTAACAGCCATATAGAACCCATAAACGGTTCTCCAGTGGTTCTCTTCCCTTAGCCAACATAGCTGAAAGAGCAATGGACGATTTAGAGTGACTATACCAAGTAGCACCGGAGTAGCGCTGCCTCCCTCAGCACAAACATGCGATTCAAACCAAGTGACTATATGGCTTACTCAGATCGAAATGGCCGGTAGCGGGTGCTGGATCGATATTAACACTCAAGGCTTTCCAAATCATTCGGCCCCCTGGACCACTAAATCCATTCCCACAAGCTTTAATGCTGTGTTCTTGGCAGTCGTATTGTTAAGTGGATAGGCTAACACATTTGTCAGTGACTTAAGAGGGTACGGGTTCTAGCTTAACTGATAGTCAAGTAGGAAAACTTTCAATCACATAGTTCGAACACATGGAATCCACTGCAGGTTGCAATGCACATTTGATCATTTGTTTGACCACGATGTGCTGCAACCGCAAAAGCCTCAGCTTTTGTCTAAAGGGGAGGGTAAACATACCCGAAGTTATACGCACAAACAATGAAACACAAAACGTGGTCTTTCGTGTTGCAACAGGTCCCTGTGACTAGTTCGAAACGGAGAGATGGTTGCTTCTCATCATCGCCACACTCTTATCCCCTATTCATCTGGTCAGAATAAGGAGTAGGAGGAAGTAGGCTTTACTGATGATGATTCAACAAACAGAAACAGCCTTTTGGTTTTAGGGGTTCAAACTGAAGAAAAACAGAAAAGTCCTTTCTACAGGACTGCTTTGCAGTTCTACATCGATATCCGTAAAGCATCTCATCGTTGTGGTGAGATTATCCGGGTCATGGAAGCAAAGAGGCGGCGAATTTCGGCAAAGCACTGAGCCAGCTTGGCTCTCGGAAGGCTGAAAGTTTTGCGACTTGGTGAAATAATACAAAGAGTTACGGGTACTTGCAATACAATTGACAGCACCCGACAGTTACACATCTCTCCACATCTTGAACGTCTATAGTTGCACAGACTGCAAAAATTGAGTGGCTGACTTCCCTTTCACCTGACGGAATCCAAACTGGTGTCAATCATTGCCCGTCATTTTGCGTTTGGGGACCACCTACAGGGAAGGGACGATAGGAAATGGGTCATGATTCGGGATGCGATTACCATCATCATTATCATCGTCATCATCATCATTGATGTCATTAGACCCGAACGAAAACATTGGCAATGACAGACCACAGTTCAAACCGATGTCTGAGCACGTCCGAGTCATTTGTTTCCCGTATGTACTAAGCGAGAAGCTGAACCCCGCCCGGGGTCGCTAAGACGGGGTATAGTCGAAGGATTTAACAATGCCATCATGGAACACTAGTTCCAATTTGGACAGGAAATCTCGACCAGCCGGCTCACTCAAACCTTGTTACACTGTGCCCAACTGGTACCCCAAATGCTTAGAAAAAGCCTCTTGTGGACGGCTGAGGCCATTGCCATCAGAGTGGTACAGCCGGAGTTGTGCAAAGAAAGAACCCTTGTACAAGCGCTTTTCATGCCAAGGCTCAGCGCCAACTATCAACGTCGGACAATAACGATGGCCAAGTGTGATCTTCTCGCCATCGTCTGCTCTAACGCCTGTCTTTATAGTTGGTTAATAAAATTATCGATCGAATTCGGCAGCATCGTACAAATGCTATCAACTTACATGTTCTCAGTCCGGCTTTCACTAGCATAAGACGTTGCGTTGTTCTTGCATTCTTATAACTGTATTTGTCTGATGAGATGTGTCGGAAAGTGATCTCTTCGAAACCTTTTTCTTAATTTGACTATCGTCTATGGGCGTTATTTACGAGTTGAAATACATAAACTGCAACGCTATTTGGCTTGTGGGTCGCTCGTTGTTAGTATACCTGTCGGTTTAAACCCCAGTCAAACGTTTTGATGTATGTACGCAGGTAGTGTAAGTAAGGTGAGGAAAGACTATAGAGGCAAGCAGTAGCGGTAGAAAATAGGACTCTGGTTTCTGAAAGATCGGCCCGCCGTCCATTCGTTGTTTTTGTCGCCCATAATAATGCTTTAAGCGGAGAGAGCTGTCAGTGAGTGAGGTGCGTGCGCGTAAGCGCGGCCTGACTGCGGATAGAGTGGGGACAGTAGAGGAGCGGGGTCAGTTAAAGCAGGGCAAAATAAAAGCTGCAGCTGGAGTCATATTTGAGGCTAATCGGCTGCAACTATGAAAGTACACAAGCGAAGTCGGTGAGCGAAGAGACTGGTCGGACACGCGCCATCCTCGATTACAACAACAGTAAGTCAGTAATTTGGGCCGAGGCTTTTAGGTCCTATAAGGACATAGGGAATGTTAACTGTTAAGAGGGGAGGATAGGTTACCTAATGTAAAACATTAACGCCCGAAACAGACATTCAGCAGCAAGGCGACTGTGTCTTGTCAAGACATCACTGCCACAAACAGCTGGTTGTTGCAAAAAATAAGGCGATGCTGGCGAGTCAACTTATTTACAGAGTTCCCTGTCTGCATCATATGCAAAAATTACAGCGCAGATAGTTCTGCATTAGATATACTTCTTGCCGACAGCCAAATAACGAGGCAGTATGTCACTCGTGCCAGCTATGAAGCCCAACACCTACCGTTGACTCCAGCTTGGAAGGCGAAGCGGTTAACCAACTCCCGGTTTAATCGTCAGCAGTAATGCTTTTCGCTTTGAGCCTTACTTCATCCTGTGTCCCGTAAGGAAAACAAGGTGCACTTCGGAAAGCGATTGGAGATCATGAGTAACGTGTTCCTTACCCAACACAACAACGGCTGCGCTATTTATGCTCTAAGAAGACGAACAAGCCATTTGTACTTGCGCCACTTGGGAAACTGTTATTGGGTATACTAGAGAAACATATAACCTATAATTCAGGACAGGGGATTAAAATATTTTTAACTCTTCTCCATGCATTTACTTCAACCTTTATATTTGTTCATCACAATTAGATTTCAAGCAGCATAAGTAAGCTGCCAATCCGGAAAAGCACCAGCCGCGCGTTTCGCCCTATCGGGGCTCGTCATTGGTGCGCATCCATCGGTCCCCTATTGGGGATCGAACCTATGACTGCTGGAGGCTAACGCCTACTAACCTGCACGGGCAATAACCTGCACGTCAGTGGAGGATGGGTCGGGCTATATCGCAGTTAGGTTTCAATTCGTAATGGTCGGCTGTCGTCCCCATGGCTCAGTGGCATAAGCTGCTGGCTAGTTGGCGTTAGACTCTAGCAGTCATAGGTTCGATACCAAGTAGGGGACCGATGGATGCGCGTCTCTGACGAGCCCCAATACGGCGAAACGCGCGTATGATACTTTTCCGGATTGCTAGCTCACTTATGCGGCTTGGAAGCTAATTGCGATGAACCAACCTGAATCAGACCGAAATCCGTCTACTCATCCGTAATTTTATATTTATATCTAGGTTGTTGGGGTCAGACAACAAAACCAGTGCGAAAATGCTACACGTAAACGATTACATTGTGGGCCCTTGAGATAAAGGATGTTATGCGCTCAAATAAAGGTTAACTCGTTCGGTGGGAATGGCGTCGTTATAAATCATAACGTTATATGACCTTTCAACATGTACTAAAGAGCATTATAGGATCTTTCAAGTAAAACAGCAGTTGTTATTATAATTTCAAATTTTCTAAACTGTTTGCCTACTCATGGAATAACGTTAAACTAAGCTAAATGACCTATAATTAATCAACGCCACAGTGAAGCACTTTTTGTCGTAACTGGCATATTAATATCACCTACCAAGTAAACTTTCTTGATCGTTCGGCTGAACGCATTCGGGCTTGTCTTCAATGCGGACATCGGCTTGTTCCCACTGATGTGGACAACATATTCCCACTGTTGGATAAAGACAAACACAAAGACAATTCAAAAAGCTATCTAATATGACCACTCAGGGGACCGACAAAAAGTGGTCGCCATAGACAGGTTCTTGCATAGAGAAAATATTCATCGGGGAAAAAGTTGGGCATGTTTTTGTCTGGTCGCCATTGACAGGTGGTTGCCATAGCAGATTGGACTGTATATGCAACAATCTAAGGAGTAGGTATAAAGTCAACAAAAATCAAGTTAATCTGTGGCTGATAAGTAAAATCGTCAAAAAATGGTAGAACACTTTGAGTTTGTCACTTAAATTTTCTTCCTTCCTTGCTTTTCGACTGCTGGGATTTAAGTACTCGAATCCAAACACCTAAGTACACAAAAATTTCCATGATTTTTGGTGAGCTACAAACCTTGAGGTATTTTGGTACATTGTCATTCCTCATATTTAGGTCCCAAGCCAGACAAATATGTGAATTTAACGGGGGATAGACGTGAAGCTAGTGGTTTCAGATGAGTTTGCAAGGTGAATGGCTGGACGCTACGAGGTTTCTTCCAGCTAATCTCACGCACGCGAACAGCGAACGGACGGGGCACTTAATCAGATGATATATGCACGAAATGGCCAAAGCATATTAACTAGCGAAATAAAACCGTCTTTCCTAAGATAAGACGTCAACATTTATCATTGCTGGCATGCTGTTACCACCACACAGGAGCGATACTCCTTAAGCGCCCATTGCGAAGGCCGAAAACAGGCCCTTGCAATCTACGCGAACTAGTCACGACTCTACATACAGCAATAATGCTCAGATGGAGGCCGTGTATACCTGACCGTTAGCAGAGAGAAGGATCTCCTGTCAGCAGCACAAGTATTTCAGACTGACAAACGCTCATCGAACTACGGTGACTGACAACTGAATCTTACACAGCTGGAACAGGTGAATAACTTCCCTTGGAAGCCACGTACCTGCATATCACACTGTCGGGAAGGAAATCGCCCACCTCATAGCCGTAGCTCAGTGAGCTTTTGTCACTGTGGTCAGCCACAGGACGCCTGCACCTAAAGAGCGACCATGGGTAGCTTACGCTGCAACACCCACAGTTCCATCAACACACCCCATAACCAGTGTAAACCCAAAGGAATAAGACCGGGAGGCATGTGGATGGGAGCCACGTTTCATCAACGGAGCCGGCCCGCACTCCTTCATAGGCAAACACAAGCACGAGGTATTTGGGAATCAAGTGCACACAAGGCGGTGGCTTGACCGTACTCCGCTCCACAGCAGGTCTAGCATGTTGTCCGCTCACTGACTCATGCACACTGGTGTCCTGGATCTTATCAGGGAAAAGGGCCTAACCCAACTTTCACCAAGCAGTAGCCATGAGGAGGCGTCCAGGACATGAGCCAATGGCAAAACAGGAGCAGCAGTGGCTAGACCATCTGTCAGAATCTATCCACCGCTAGCCTCAACGCACCATAGGCTCTCTCGCGTTCCAACAAATATATCGTAAATGACGTTCCCGCGCTTGCCCTGGATCGTGACTGAGGTCCATTTTGCGTGTCCTTTCCGGTAATCACGTACACTTACTGACTGTCCCGGATTAAATAAACGTCGCTTAGCACCATACCTCCGATAGAAGTCACGTTCCATCTTGAGCTTCCTTTCATCAGCTGTGGACTGTGAGAACGGCCGAACTGCATCCAATGGCATGCGAAACTTTCTCTTAATCATTGCCTCTGCTGGTGATATACTACCCGGTGTTTGTGTAGATCAGTACAGAGAGAGGAAGCGGTCGATCACCTCCTCTGTGTCTCTTTCCATCCTGGATTTAAGGAGAGCCCGTTTGAATGTATCCACAAGTCTCTCCGCTCGGCCGTTCGATTGGGATGGAATGGTGGAGACCGCACGTATTTGTTGACGCATAGTTTGCGTAACTCCGTGAATGGGGCCGAAGTAAACTATGCTCCATTGTCTGTCACGAATGTTTCAGGGTAGTAAAACCTGCTGAAGATTTGTCGCAACCTTGAAACTGTTGCGCTGGTTTTCGTGCTGCTAATGTGGGACACTTCAGGCCGTTTACTGTAAGCATCGATCAGTATGAGAAATTTCTGGCCATTGATTGGGCCTACAAAGTCGACATGAACACGGCTCCAAGGTTTAGTTGCTTTAGGCCACGAGTAGAGTTCAGTCTTGGGAGGTACCTTTGGGACGGTAGCGCAGTTGCTACAACTTCTAGCTAGCCGCTTCAACTGTCCGCCCATACACGGTCATTACACATAACTTCGGGCAAGCGCTTTCATTCGGTTGAGCCCTGATTATTCTGTTTGAGACTATCGCAGCACGCTTTCTTGAAACGGCTGCGGGATGACTACTTTCTTGGAGAACATCGCGTAATTGTTCACAATGGAGAGCGAATGTCTTAGCAGGTAGAATTGCTGCATTTCTGCAAATGAACATGAACTTGGCAAGCTGTTTGTGTGGAAGTGCGTAACCTTCTTCAGTATTGGATCTCGAAGCATTTCGGCCCGCATTTCAGCGGCCGTAACTGGCAGACCATACAATGCCTCGCTCACCAGGAATTTGACATCAGCTTCGATCTCAACTGAGACTATGATGGTGTCCTGGTGTTCTTGCTGCTGGGAATCAATGAGGCGTGACAAGGCATGTGCCTTGCTCATCGAAACTGTTGACTGATAACGGATTTCAAAAGCATAGCCTACCAAGGTGAGTGCCCATCGTTGGAGTCGATTTGCTGTATAGGGAGGAATTCCCTTCTTCGAGCCAAAAATGGCCGGCAGCAGCTTATGATCCTTCAAGGGATTGCAGCGGCGACCGTACAGCAGCTTGTGAATTTCTTCACAGCAAACATAATGGCCAATGTCTCCCTCTCGATCTGCCTGTAGTTTCTTTCTGCTTTCGTCAGTGTCCTGCCGGCATTGCGATCGCCTACTGATATCCAGCTTGGAACGTATAGGAAAATACGACACCGAGCCCTAGACTCGGCGCGTCTGTGGCAAGAACAATGTCTCGGGACGGGTTAAAACGTGTCAGGAGCAGGTTTGAAGCCAGCAATGGCTTGTCCCGCTCGAACGTAGTCTGGCATTGTGGCGTCCAATCCCAGGTTTGGCCCTTGCACAACGACTTGTTCAGCGGGGCACGTAGGTGATGTATTTTAGGCAGAAAAGCGTTGTAATGACTAATAAGTTAACAGAATGACCGCAGCGATCACAAGTCCGCAGGTAAGGGCATCAGTTGAATAGCTCGAATATTTTCTGGATCAGTGCGACGACCGCCTTTTGCGAAAATGAAGTCGGGGAACTTGCTAATTAGTGTAAAAAAAAGTACACTTTTCTTCACGGATACGGAAACCATATGACTGGATGCGCTCATATACTTCAGCGAGCCGTTCAAGTAGATGTTCTTCCGTCCGACCCATTCAGATGATATCATCTAGATACACTGCGGCTCTAGAAACCCCCGTGAGCTTGGTGTCCATCAACTGCTGGAAGCCGGCTAGTGCTGATTCCACTCCCAAAGGGAGACGGTTGTACTGGTACAAGCCACGACTGGTATTGGTCAGCAATTATTTCGAGCCTTCATGAACCTCAATCTGGAGGTAGACATCAGACAAGTCGAGAGTAAAGAAACACTTTCCACCATTCAGTTTGGTACAGATATCCTCTGGTATCGGAAGAAGGTGCTGATGGTCGTCCAGTGCGGTATTCAAGCCAGCCGAAAAATCGGCGGAGATAAGCACTTTACCGTTCGGCTTTCTCACAGCAACAATCGGCGCAGTCCATGAGGAGCAGTTTACTAGTGTGATGACACCGGCAAGCTCCAGTCGGTCGAGCTCCGGATGAATTGCTGCCATCGCTGCATACGGTACCGGACTTTTGTTCTGAAGACGGTCTTGGTTCTTCTGCGTATGAACAACTTTGCTTTGAACTTAGTGCACTGACTGAGACCAGCTTCAAAAAATAAGGTAAACTATTGCTTTATCTTTCTCGTCATGTCTACTATCGACAGTTGTACATGGATTGGATCGGTTTGGACTCCATTGCAAATCTAACTCATTGGAAGATCGAACAGTTGTAACTATTTCATCCAGTAAAGCCCCAGGAGATTCAAGTTTGGTAGGTCAGACAAGTAGCAGGTTCCAGCCTGTTCCACTCCGTTGAATGCAATTTTGCAAGTTATTTCTCCGGCCAGTTTCAGCACTCCGCCGGATGTGTTGTGGGGAAGTGCTGGAATCATCCCTCTTCGGCCTCTTTAAGTGCTTCCAAGTGTTCTTGGAAATGATCGTTATATCTACGGCCGAATCGAACTGCAGCCTGGTTGGGATTCCGTTGACCAGCACAGTGCTAAACCGGCGGCATGTCCCAGAATCGGTGTGAAAAGTAGCGATCACCGATAGTGATTCTGAATCGGGCTTCCTGAAATTCATATTACGGTAGCAACCTCAGCCTGTTTTGAACAGTTGAGGTCGCTCTGTACGATCACACCTAGGTCACGTTCCTGGGAGCTATTCTGCAGTCCTTTGGTCCCAAGTGAATAGGTATAGTTATGACGATGGCGTAATTGTACGACGCGACATTTGTCTACATTGAACGGTAGGGCGTTTTGAAGTGACCAGTTCGACACAGTGTTAAGATCGCACTGGAGTCGCTTATGGTCATCCGGTCCTCTGATCCTTCGCCATATCTTGATATCATCAGCGAAAAATAGGAAATCGGAAATGATTGATCTCGCCAAATCGTTAATGAACACCAAGAATAGATGAGGTCCAAGAACCCAGCCTTATGGTATTCCACACGCCACATCGATTGCATGAGAAAAGAATTCTCGGACTCTCACCACTAGCCGTCGCTCTTGTAGAAAATTGTTAATTCAACTCAGGATTGGGTCGCCAATGCAGTAATTCCGAAGCTTCTGAAGGAGAATGCGATGGTTTATGCGATCAAATGCTTTTGAAAAGTCCAGGCAGATGACATCGAGTCCTGCTCCATCATCAAC